AGAGGCGGGATAGGGTGATGGGAAAGTTTGGGGGCAGGTGTAAGGATATTCCTTCAAACCATAATTAAAGTTTTGTTTTCTGACCTTCTGATGTTTAGAGACTTTGAGTGTATGCCAATTCATTTTTTCATGGGCTTTGGAAAGGATCACATTTTATAGGAGTCTGCAGTGGTTGCATTTAAAGCAGTCTTTTTCTGTCCTCTTAGCCATTGTCTGTACTCTACCACCCGCAGAGAGAAAACTCTTCTAGACAGGAATCCTCATTTACTGTGAAAACATATGACAGTAGAGTCATCTTTAAAATAACAATAATAAAATACAATCCAGTGACATGGGTCAAAAATTAACAAGGGAAACATCCTTTTCCCTATTCGTCCATTTCCCCTCATCCTGCCACTGTCTCCCGCACTAACGCAGGTACAGCTATCTCCTGTTGAACATGGGTTACTTTAAAATAACAACTCTAACCCTAGCTGGAAGCTCCTCTATCTGAACACATTTTGGAGAAACCATCCTTAAACAGGTTAGCAGCTGTATCAGTCTGGGTCCAGTCAGGAGAGAAAACCATATCATAATTTGAATAATATTTAATAATATTAAGAATTAGTCACTGCAACAAGAGATTGGAGTAATGCATGGTTGGCTAGTAAAAAGTAAAGAAAACTTTACAAACTATAGGAATAGCAGATATATGGAGCAGCTTCTACCCCTGGAGCTGACCTCACTACATAGTATACCCATGGCTCTCTGAATGACAAAAAAGCCACATTAGTGGAACTTGCCAGAAGTCTGTGCTCTGAGGTGCCTGAGAAAGCTTTCATGGAAGGCACCCGAAGGAGGCCCTGGGGAAACTGCAGAGCGCTGCCGGCAGCTGGGCCCTGCCGGAGCCTCATGCTGGACAAGGAGACCGTGTTGTAGGAGCCTGCTGAGCCGCCACACCAGCACCAGCAAGCAAAACTTTCCTCCCACCGTGTCTCTCCAGTCTTCACCTGATAAGCTTAACATCACCACAGTTGACAAAGGAAAATTATTTAAAAGGATCAGATGGCTTTTCACAGAGCAAGCAAAAAGGGTGAATTTGGAGTTGAGAGGCAATATGTTGATAACCAACCAGTACAGGGACTGAGAAATGCAAATAGTCATGATATCCTAAGTGAAAGACACATCTGTTGCCGAAAAGATTATATGATACATTTCAAAGCCAAAATTTATATATTTATTCTTACCACTTATCCTGTTTTTTCTCTTGATTGAGAATGGATTAAAATCTTTTTCTTTCTTTTAGTAAAAGCATCAGGCATATAAATAAACCTAGAGTACAACAAGTGGAAATGAAATGCCTTTTGAGTAAACCTATGAAGTTCAATAGAAACCATAGAGGCAGGGATAGTAGATAGGAAATGTAGAGAGGAAACATAGTTGTCTAAATATCCTCTTTATTTTTTATTTTTACTTGGCTTGTCTGAAAATATCCTTTGTATGCTTTCATGTATATTATATAGTCCATCTTCTTAAAGATCTTCAAGGGCCTGCTACTTGCACCAGATAGACTGGCTTCCTTCTACTGGTACATAGCTGTTGTCCTGTGATCCTCCTTCGCCATTAGCCTGCATTCTCTTCACCTCTTTCATGGGTTGGATTGTATCTCTAGTATCCAGAATCTCCACTTTCTTGGTTTACTCCTTTGGTCGCTTGGGGCATATTGTCCAACAGTGTTATGAGAAAGACTCCATGGTAAGTAAACTGTTTTGAGACCATGTATAGCCAAAAATGGCTTTATTCTTTCCTGCTACTTGACTGATAGTTTGGTTATAAAAATCTAGGTTAGAAATAATTTTCCTTCAGAATTTCAAAGTCGTTTCCCCTTTGTTGTCTAGCCTTCATTTACAAGTATGAAGTCATCCTGGTTCTTGTTCCTTTCTATGTAACCTGTTTTTCTTTCTGAAAGCTTTTAAGAATTTTTCCTTTGTTTTTAATGTCCTGAAGTATTCTGATCATATGCCTTAGAGTGGCTCTATTTTCATCCATTATTATGAGTATTTCCTTAGTAGTCTTCTCTTTTTTGGTGAGGAGGACATTCATATTTTTCAGATGTTCAACCTTCTAGGCTCATCTTCCAGTTTTCTTATCTCTCTCATTTTCTGCCTTTGTCTTTTTGCTCTGTCTTCTAGATTTCCTTTGACTTTATATTTAAAAAATAATTTTTTGCAATCATTAAATTTTTTTTCTCTGAATGTTCCTTTTTATAAGCATCTTATTCTTGTTTCATGAGTACATCCTCTCTTTTCTCTCTGGGGATATTAATGGGAGATTTTCTTTTTCTTGAACTTTTCCTCTATCTTCACTTCCTCCAAGTTGCATTGTTTTGTTTTCTATTGGTTTTGGTTTCTTAGATGTATAGTGAGTCCTGTTTGCTCAGTTTTAAGACTGAGACTCTAAGACAGTTTCTTAACCATTGTACCGAAAAAAAAATATGTTGTGGGTCTGTGAAGACACTGGTGGTGTCAGTCTTCAGAATGGCTGCACCGCGTCTGAAGGGGTGGGGCTCTGCTAGCCCCTGGCCTACAGGTGACTTCTGTATACCCCAGAGTAATAATATTACATTTTCTGTGTGTGATGAGACATGAAAAAGTTTCAGAAGAGCTGCTTCAAAATGTTCTAGAAGCTCAGAGCCCATAGGTTAGGCTCGTTGATCATGGTTTCACTGTGTTGTGTGATAAAACTGATCATTTTCTTGGGGTAGATTGATGGCCATGCCTCTTTAGGTCTCCTGTTCTTGGGCTGAATAAATCCTCCAGAAGAATCTTCACTTCTTGCTCTGAGATTATAGGTCTGGCTTTCAGCCTTTTAGGAGCAGAGTTGGGGAAGAAATGACTGCTGGTCCAGCATTCATTATGTAAATGTTCTCTTAACTCTGACCCTTTTTTATTTGATACAGCTACCCTCAAATGTGCCTGGCAGCCCCCTCCAGAGACCACCCTCAGTTTTGTTCTCCTCAGAATATAAATCACTTCTCTTCCACTGGAGCGGGGAGTATTACTGAACTGTGCGCAGGAATCGTGCATACACGTGGAGGGAGAATGTGGAAATTTAGCTGTTTCTTCAGACTTTGACAACAGTTCTGTTTTTAACTCATCTTTTAGCCCTCCTTCCACAGCTACTCTTCTACTACCCGTTCTTGAGCCATGGGGAGTCTTCAGTGCAATCTAGGTTGTTTCTTGGCTTTGTGCTCTGCTAAATTAACATTCAGCTTTCTCAGATACTCAAGTCAGTTACTCTTGTCTGTTTTCTAGCATATGGAATTTCATTGATATTATTAATATTATTTCCTGATCTTTCTGTATTCAGCCTACCAAAAGTCTGCTTCTTTACTGACTTTCTTATAGAAGTCTGAATACAAAGGATGAGTTTAAATTTTTGTTTCTAAGTTCTCCCTGCAATTATTACTATTTGAATACTACCATTTGCAAGTGTGCTTTTCTTTTCTTAGAAAGCATGTTTATTAGGTAGCAGTTAACATGATGCCATTCCTGAGATTTAACATATTTAGAATTCACATCAGCAGCATGTTTTAAAGTTACTTTTAAAATTTCACTTAAATATTTTTTTAAAAAACCTTCAATTTTCTTAGTAAAAAACATATTGGGAATATCTTTTAGACCTTAGGTAAGGTACAAGTTCTTAAACAAGATGCAAAAACATTGACTGTGAAATGTTGTTCTTCAAATTGCTCATGACCTTTAAAAAAGTATTAAGTCTGCCAAAAGATTAATATCAAGAATATGTAAAAGACTCCTACACCTCAATATGAGAAAGACAGCTAATAAAAAATGAACAAGAGACATGGACTGAGAACAGGTGTTTTGCAGAAGAGGAAACATGTGGCCACAAGCATATGGAGAGGTGTTCAGCACCTGGCTGATAAGGAAAATGCAGATGACAACCAGAGCGAGATGCCATATTTTACTCATTCGATTGGCAAAACTTAAGAAGTGTGACAGGTTTAAATGTGGTAGAGTTTATGGATCCATAAATGCTCTTACACATACATAGCAGAGCAGGCTGTAAACTGCTCTACCTGCTTTGGAGAATAATTTAGTATCATCTCCTACTTTGTAGAATAATTTAGCATGATTCCATTCTCAGGCATATACCAAAGGAAAGTTCTTCTACATAGTATAAAAGGAGACATGGACAATAATAGTCACAGCAACACTGTTCACCATATCAAAAACTTGGAAACAACTCCAGAGTCCCATCAACAGGAAAGTGGGATATCATACAGCAGAAAGAACAAAAGAAGCAGGGTGATATGCACACTTTTATAAAATTAAAAACAACTGAAAAATTTTAAAATATACCTATTTCACTTGAGGCTCTGACTCGAGGGGGATGGGGGGCATGGGCAATATACGTAACCTTAACACTTGTACCCCATAATACGCTAAAATAAAAAAAAAGTATATATATATATATATATATATATACACCTATTTCATGGATGCAATCATAAAAGGGAAAATTGATTATAGGATTTAGGATAATAGTTACTTTAGATAGTGTAAGCAGAGGAACAGATTGGTGGGGAGGACCATTTGGTTAGAAGCAGGTTATTGTGATGGTCGTAGCTTTTGTCTTGAGTGGTAGGTCTGTGGAGTCCTTGTTACATTATCAAAAATAGATAGTAACAAAAAATAAGCTTAAAGGGACTGGGATTTCCATAGTTAAGTAGAGATTCATGCTCATGTAGATCTTAGTTTTTGGCTGTTTATTTTATTTTGTTTTATTTTGTTTTTTAAGTAGCATTTTGAATCCTGGGACCAATGTGTTTTAGTTGAAAGTTATAAAAATATATAGATCTAAAGTTAACAAGCTAAATTTTCTAGGTGGGAATTCATATACTGGATAAGTATCATATACTTTATAGAGTGTTTAGTGCATAAATATTTATAGCTATTTCTGTTCTTTCATAGAAATTTTACATTTTTTTCCTTTCTTAGGACAAAGTTAAACTATAATCCTCCAAAAGATGATGGATCAACTTATAAGATTGAACTTGAAGGGATATCGGTAATGGTTATGAGAGAGATCCTGGATTACATCTTCAGTGGGCAGGTATGATGAGAAACAAAGGAAGGAAGACCTAAGTAGAGGCTTCTCAAGCTCAGGGTGAGGGTCTCCTTTCATCCATTATATGACAAAGTAACACTGTCATCTTCATCTTCTGTCATTGTGTGCTTTGACTAGCATCTCCTACTGGTAATGGCACCCCAATGTGTGTTCTTCTGGGACCCTGCTCCTCAAAGAGAAGCAGGCGAAGTGAGAGCTTAGCCCCCAGTTCCAGTTTTTATTTGTACCATTCTGAGCTCCACTATCCAGTATGAGGTATGAAGAACATAGGATGCTGCCTTCACTGCTGTCTTTTTCATTTTTGTTTTTGAATCTTGAATCCAACTTTGTTTGTATCCACGCTGTTAGGAACTTGCTCTGTCTCCATAGCATGCCTTGGGCAGTGGGAATTATTTTGTAGAAATAAAGAGTTCCTGATAGATCATTCCCAAGAAAGGGGATTCCCACAACTGTAAGGCACCCTTATAATATTCACAATGCCTCGGTCCTGCTGCCTCAGTGGTACCAACATCCCTGCCCACCCCCATTCTTCCTTCCTGATCTCTTTTTTCCTCTCTGTGCCCACTTACCCTTCTGGAGACATAATGATACCCAGGAAAGAGCGTGAAAAGTGACAAGACTTCCTTCTTTTCCTTCACCTTCCTCTGAGCACCGCCCCCACAGCCCCCATTATGTGATTTCAAATAAAGCATGAGGAGCCTTAAGAAAAATCTTAGGTGTGAGTCAGGACAAGTTTTGTTTTGTTTTGTTTTTTTAACAGAAAGAAGAGGCCAGCTTGTCTTTCTTTTGGTTCTGTGAGAGTGCGTTTCATCTTTATTCTTTTTGAGATCTTGTTCTCTACTCTCCCCTTTGTTCTTTCTTCATCACTCTTGTTTTCCTTTTCCTTTCTGTAAGGGCTGTTTCTCCTACAGAATACATATAAGTATTCTGAGTGTGTTACTTTCTTTGTCTCAACATGTTCATTCTGTCCAGAGTCGAACTTAGTGATTCTCATCCTTTTTGGAGTTTTTGGTTTTGATTTCATGATATTATCCCTTTCTCTTTTCTCTGAACACTAGGCAGTAGGTATGTATATGTATGATTGTAAAAATAAATGAATTTAAATTAATTTGGGAGCAGCCCTTAAGATACTGGAGATTCTCTGTAGCATCACAAAACCAGACCTAAGGCCTAAGACTGACGTCTTGTCTAACTTGTAAAGTCAAATCAGCAGCAGATATTAGTGTAACATGTTATAAGCCAAAAAGAGCCTATTCATGTTCAGCCTTGGATTCGAAACTTGAAACCTTATTTACAGATTGACATCTGTGATTTGCTCCCAATTTAAATTTAAAACCCTAGTTGCAATTAAGATTTAACAAACTCCTGAATTGGCAGTTTAGTTTTATTGAGATGCAATTTAGTGTTTTTGTACATGCCTATATTTGAATAGTCTACAGCTGTCTGCTGTCTTGTGGCTGAATGTACTGTCATATAAATGGAAAATTTTCCTTTACTTGTAGCTTACTCAACATACTACTTTCCACATTTTTGTTGCTCGGTTTCTAACAAGATTGGCAGTTATAAATTTTTTTGTATCTGTGGTAGAAAAAGGACAAACTGTAATGCAAGTGTTTCTTGCTATAGTCTTCATGAAGTCTATCCTTAACATTCTGAATGTAGGTGAGGGACCCATGCTCTCAGGGACAGAGACTAAAATTACCACATGGGATTGTGGTAATATTTTATAGGACCATTTCTTTACCAATGCATGAAAAAACTGCAGAATGGGTGGAGGAAGAAACATCAATCAGAAAATTTAAGAAAATTAAGGAAAAGCAAACAATCATAATGAGAAAAAAACCCTTATATTAGAGATTTATTCTACAAAGTAGTTTTAAGACCACATTGTATCTGTTGACCAAATTGCACTGTGTGCATTGTTTGGAATTCAGAATGAGGCTTCTGAGATAGCATAAACCCCACTCCCTTCAAGGGGCTGGTGTTCAGTTTGTCATGCCATTCAGCAGAAGAGTGACCTTAATGGATTGGGAGGCAAAATTTTCAGTGGTTCTAGTGCTAGAATTTAAAGAAGTCACCTACAGTTTACCATAGGATGCAAAACTTTCCATTGCCTAAGCTTTTCAATCATTAAGGTTTTTATCTAAGTTATAGAAATGAGCAACGTGGACAGTTCACCTTAGAAGGGTTATTGGTAGTTAATGTACAGCAAGGGAGGAGTTGGGAAAAGTTAACCAGGTACATTACTTGCTTATGTTGGTAGAAGATTCCTTGGTGCCCTCAAATTCTTGGAAGAGAAGTGCTAGGTTGAACTATATAAAATTGCCAATATTCGATCATCTTTGATCTGAAAAAAAAAATGGAAGTTTCATGTGGCTTAGCCTAATAAGTTAGTGGTTTGGGTTTTAAATATATATATTCAAATATAAAATATTTGTGATTCTGTTCCAGATCAGGCTAAATGAAGATACAATCCAAGATGTCGTACAGGCAGCAGACCTGCTACTACTGACGGACCTTAAAACTCTGTGCTGCGAGTTTTTGGAAGGCTGTATCGCTGCTGAGAACTGCATCGGCATCCGTGACTTCGCGCTGCATTACTGCCTTCATCACGTGCACTACCTTGCCACGGAATACCTGGAGACTCATTTCCGAGATGTGAGCAGCACAGAAGAATTCCTAGAACTGAGTCCTCAAAAGCTCAAAGAAGTGATTTCTCTTGAGAAGTTAAATGTTGGCAACGAAAGATATGTATTTGAAGCAGTAATTCGATGGATAGCACATGATACAGAAATAAGAAAGGTACCTGTCCTTTATAACATGGTCTCGTGTTGCCTTTTGAAGTTATTTATTTTTAATCCAAATTATAGTTGTTTTATCTCTCTCCTTCAACATAAAAGACGTACAAACTTGTGATCTAAAAGATATCTGTAGAACATGACCCCATATGTCATTATCGGTCTGCAAAACCCCATGTCACACACACAATATGTCAATGAAAGTAGTAACACTTTTGAGGAGCATAATAGCCTTTGTTTTTTGTTTGCTTATTATTCAAAAGCAAGCTGGAGTAGGAGCCTAATAGCCTTTCTGTGTTGTTTTTAATGGGAAAATGCCTTTCAAGCTTAAGTGGAAGATTATAGAAACCCAGCACCCCAACCCTTCCTTTCAAGCAGCCTGCGCTGCTGCATCATTGTCGCCATCGGGCCAAGCCCCACACTGGGACTGGCTGCACATGGAGCTCTGGCTGAGGGTGGGGAGCTTCGGATGTGATTGACACCACGTGGAGAGAGCAGGCGGGCTCTGAAGCTCCAAGAGGGAAGGTTCTGGGAGTGACAGCTTGGGAGAGAAGGTCTTAGAGAATGTCAGTCGTTAGTTCCAAATTGTGACTGCATTAGGGGAGGGAGCAAAATCACAGGACGTGGTTGTTAAGTCTGATCTTTATAAATAAAACAGTAGCTTCAACGACTGTTTTCAAAATAAGCAATGTATTAGGATTTAGAGAGTGGATTTCAAAATGTATGATTACACTGTTAATTGTTCTTAGTAACTGTTAACTTTAGGGTTGAGGATTATCTTACATTTTTTGAATTCTGTAAGCCTGTTAAGTATATATATTTAGAAACCATGTTTGCAGTCTTAGTCTTAGGATGGGTTGTATTGTACTTTCCATGTTAGTTGGATAAATTAGGAAAAGAGTTGGAAAAATTTCTAGTTTGTTCCCATTCACTGAGGGCCACCGTAGAAAGCCCTTGGCTGGCCTCTGCCTTTCCCTCCTCTGGCCTTAAAGTGAGGGGGTGCTTGGAGGCAACTGGTTGCTAAGGAAATGAGGCACTTCTTTATCCTTTGACCAATCTGAACTTTATTCTGTAAAGACTGTTGGCTTTTAAAACTCAGAGTATAGAAGAGTATACCCTAAAATGACTATTTCAAACCAAGAATAACCTTATGAATATACCAATTAGTAAATTAATCATTAAGGAGTTTCATATTATGTATGTAGAACACTCTAGTCAATCGGTTCAAATTTAATGACTGAGCAACAAATTTATATAATTCATATTAGACATGTTAGCTATTTTCAGACAGTAATTACTGCAGAAGTGATTAATACTCAGGATTTTTTCGAATTTGGTTTTCGTGCATTTTTCTTATAATATTAATGTTGATACATTAGCTGAGTTTACCATATTGTGTTGAGCTATTACTGTATATAATTCTAGAAACATGATTAACTCATATCCAAATGTGTGAAATAAAGCAAATTATATACTTTTTTGTCTTCCTATCAGAATGGGAACCTTCAAAGGTGTAAAGAAAGCTGCTTGAAACTTTCATTGCGGTGATACCTCAAATAAAAATATAAACTGATGGTTTTAAAAAATTAAACTTTAACTTACCAGGACTATGGGAAGTAGGAAGATAAAGGGCCAGTGAGGCATATTCAAGCAGTACCAGCATATCTCACTTGCCCGTTACTAATCGACTGTTAGCAGTCTACTTCCCATGAGGTAGAAAATATATATTCTAAAATCCACGTGTTGCCTTTTCTATTTTTATTTCTCGTCCTTCTGTCTCCTGCAGGTCCACATGAAGGATGTTATGTCAGCTCTGTGGGTTTCAGGCTTGGACTCCAGTTATTTACGGGAACAGATGCTGAATGAACCATTAGTACGAGAAATTGTCAAGGAGTGTAGCAACATTCCGCTCAGCCAGCCGCAGCAAGGGGAGGCCATGCTGGCGAACTTCAAACCCCGGGGTTACTCCGAGTGCATCGTGACTGTTGGTGGAGAAGAAAGAGTGTAAGTGTGGGTGTGAGTTGTTGGGAAAGTGATATGCGGATGCTTACCTGGCAGGGGAGATGCCATGATCTCGAAGGTGGTTTTCCCAGGGCGAAGCTTATCCACTGCACTCCGGACGTGCTGACCCCTGTGATTTCCCCAAAATGTGGGAAACTCGACTGCGTAATTTGTGGTAGTGGGGGACTGTGTTTGCACTTCCCCCGGAGAAATAAATAAATAAATAAATAAAATAAGCAGTATACGGGAAGAGGGAGTGCTATGTAAATAAGAATTCATAATATTTTTCAGTATGTAAAGTATAATAGCAATTGGACTTTTTTTTTAAATGTTTTAAACATTCTCTAGCACTCTAAAACTAGTAACAGTTACTTAGAAGCGGAACTATATAAAGCACCTTAACCGCTGATCAATTATTTATTTCCTTAGTTCACGGAAGCCAACGGCAGCGATGCGATGCATGTGTCCTCTCTATGACCCTAACAGGCAGCTCTGGATTGAACTGGCCCCTTTAAGCATGCCGAGAATTAACCACGGAGTTCTCTCAGCAGGTACTGTTCTGTGGGAAATTTTACTTAAACACAACATCAAGTAATACAGAATTTCAGGATTGCTCAGAATAACTCAAAACCTCTTACAGATAAAACTTTATTATCTCTACATGTTGATATTTTAGTGTAGGTCCAATTTTTGAGACTATGGTTAGGATAAGAATACATAACTGTTTTTTAACAATGTAGTGGAAAAATTAGCTGGGCATGGTGGCGAGTGCCTATAGTCCCAGCTGCTTGGGAGGCTGAGGCAGGAGGATCACTTGAGTCAGGAGTTCAAGGCTGCAGTGAGTTACAATCAAGGCACTGAACTCCAGCCTGGGTGACAAGAACGAGAACCTATCTCAGAAAAAAAAAAAAAAGAAGAAGAATGTAGTTGGAGGGGCTTTTAGTTGATGACTTAACTGTTAGAACAAACTTCAGAGTTTCTTACCCCTAATTAGCTGCATGACCATACCTGAAACACAAAATTTCTTGCTCCATGAAATTTCAAAGTCCTATCTTTGAAATTCACGCAGTTTAGAATTACAATATGTAATTATATAAAGTGTTAAATAAAGCAGGTATTTTTTATGAGACTGTAGAAAATATTAAATTAGCAATGACTTAAAGTTATTTTGTTACAGGAAGTATGTTTTACTTGACCTTTACAAGTCTGAGAACTCCATATTATTCAAACTGTCATTTAAGGGTAGAAAAGATTGCCATTTCCATGTCAACCACAGCTTGCCACACCTTGGTCCTGCCCCTTTGGGTTCACCCAGCAAGTGCCACTTCATGTAAGCAGTCTTGGAGTCCTTAATTGTCTCTGCTTGCCCACTAACATTATCTTTAAAATTTTTAAAGCTATAACATACCATACCATACCACAAAAAATGGCTAAGGCTATACTATGGTTTAGGAATGGAGTCATTTTATGAGTCCCAAAATTGTTGACATTATTGCCAGTAATAAAGAGCTGAACAGAGTAGGGTAGCCAATAGGATATGGGCCTAGATTCCCTGTTGTATCTTTTTAGAATTGGCTCCCTTACATTTTCTCTTCATAGTATGTACACATATCCACACTTTTCACACATAACACATCTATCACAAAGTTTTTAAAACACTGATTTTTGAAGGTTTCATAGAGGGGTTGGTGTTTCAGAAACCAAACAGTGGAAAGACCAGTTGTGTATAATTGTATGGACTGAAATGGAAATGATTGAATAGTTTCTTTCCATTTGTCTAGTCTGGCCTGCTCTGTTTCTTTCTCTCTTTTTTTTTTTTTTTTTGAGACTGAGTCTCACTCTGTTGCCCAGGCTAGAGTGCCATGGCATCAGCCTAGCTCACAGCAACCTCAAACTCCTGGGCTCAAGCCATCCTTCTGCCTCAGCCTCCCAAGCAGCTGGGACTACAGGCCGCGCCACTACTCCCAGCTAATTTTTTCTATATATTTTAGTTGGTCAGTTAATTTCTTTCTAGTTTTAGTAGAGACGGGGTCTCACTCTTGCTCAGGCTGGTTTCGAACTCCTGACCTTGAGCAATCCACCTGCCTTGACTTCCCAGAATGCTAGGATTACAGGCGTGAGCAACCGTTCCCGCCAAGTTTCTTTCTCTTGCCTTTTTAAAAATTGCTTTTGACTTTTTTTTTTTTTTTTTTGTCATTCACTTTTTCCTTTTCACAAGTTTGGAGATTTTATTCTTGTTTCTCTTCCTTTGGGAGGTTTCCTTAGAAATTACAGCCTGTGTCTTAAATGATCAAAGTCTAAAGTTAGTAAATTTATTCTCCTTCTGGATAGTTTTTCTTCATTTTTCATGTTCGATGGTCTTACAGTATTAAAGTAAATGATCATTAATAAATGAACATATACAGTAGTCCCTCTTTACCTGCAGGGGACATGTTCCAAGATCTCTGATGACAGCTGAAACTGTGGATAGTACCAAACCATATATATATATACTGCTTTTTCCTATTCATACATTCCTACAATAAAGTTTAATTTATAAATTAGGCACTGTAAGAGATTAACAACAATAACTAATGATAAAATAGAACAGTTATAACAATATATCATAATAAAAGTTATGTGACTGTGGTCTGTCTCTCTCTCTCTCTAAATATCTTATTGTAGTGGACTCACCTCCTTTCAGACCACAGTTGACTCTGGGTAACTAAACTCACAGAAAGCAACACTACGTATAATGGGGCTACTATAGGCATAATGTTTTTTTGATAAATATTTTATGTATGCATGGATGGATAGATAGTGTTCATTTAGATTCACTACTTTCTTTGTTCTTCCTTCTTTCTTATACCCCAGACTTTCTACCCAGGATCATTTTCATTCTCTCTGAAGTTCATTCTGTTGAATTTCCTTTAATGCAGGTCTTTAGGTGAAAAACTCTCCGATTTGTTTTTCTGCAATCTTCTTCATTATATTGCCTTCATTCTTTAGGGAATTTTTTGCTAGGCATAGGATTTTAGTTTGTATTTATTATTTTCAGTACATTGAAGATGTCTTTCCACTGACTTTTGGGTTTCTTTGTTGTTAATGCAGTTGTCAGTCTAAAAATCATATTTTGGGACCATTGGGTTTCTTGACTCTGTGGTTTTGGCCCTTCATCAGTTATATAAAATTTGTATCCATTGCGTCTTCACCTGTTACCTCTGCTTCATGCTGCTGTCTTCCTCTGCTTTTTGATCAAATATTACTGGACCCTTTTACTCATCCTCTGCCTTCTCTCTTCTTTTTGTTATTTTCCATCTTGTTGTCTCTGCTTGCTATCCTTTTGATGATTTCTTTGGTTTATCTTCTATTGAGTGAATTTTCTCTTTAACTCTGATGAATCTGCTTTTGAATCCATCCGTTGAATTTTTTTTAATTTCTGGAAGTTTTCTTTAAATCTTTTTCAAAATCTGCTGTCATTTCTATACTTTCATGTTTTCTAGAGTTATCTTCAAATTTGTCCTTTTAAAACAGTATTGTTTTATTGTCTTTCTCATAACTACAATATTTGAAATCTTTGCAAGACTATTTCCTTTTGTCTACTTCTGTTGGTTCTTTTCATAGAGTCTAATTTTTTGGTGTGCCTGAGTATCTTTGGCTGGATGCGGGTCATTTTATTAAAAATTATGTGTAAGAATAATTTGATGCCTTAAAGTCTTAGAATGTTAGAATCTAAGTCTTTAGATGAAGGCACTTTCTTCTACAGAAGTTTTGTATTTGTTTCTACCAATTGCCTGAAAACACTACTAATTTGGTAAATCATGTTCAAGGCTGAGATTTCCTAGACAACGAGGTTTAAATCTGAGTACTAATTCTAGTTGGCCTTCGTCTTGATGGTGCAGCACTTTGGAGAGAATATCCTGCCTAAACCCACACCTTCTTTAGGCCTGGAGCTTAGATTTCTTTATTTTTTATCCCCAGGGCAAAGGTTTAAATTTTTTCAGGTTGGCAAATGTCCTCAGAGCAAAACGGTTGTCATGCTTGGTAACCTCTCTTAGGTCCCTCTTTTCACTTCAGTTTTGCCTTATAGTCTTGTTGGCTGCTACTTTTCTAAGATTTTCTTTTAATGTTTTATCTAGCAATTTAGGTGTTTTTACAAAAGAATAACCTAATTCACCACTACACAAAATAGGAAGTTCAGCAGTTACTCGTAGATCCTGTGTTGAGTGTAAAGTGCTTGCAGGCGCCTCAGATCTGCGTATTCCTGGGATCTTGAATGAGCAGGTGTGGGCTGCGGTTCAGACGTTGTATGAGGATCACAGAGGCTGGGGAGTAGAAGAGATGAACTGAGGTGGCCCAGCGTTGCCTGGTGACTGAGTGGGTGGTGTCAGTCTTCCTTTTACGCTGCAGGGTGGTGGGAATCCTCTCCGAGAGAGTGATGAGTGAAGCAAAACGGTCAAAGTGACTCACAAATTTGGCTTTATCACCAAGGATCACATGAGATGGGATCAAAGTCCTGAATCCAAAGAGAAGAGTGTTGTCAGAGAAGGTGTCTCCAGATGCTATGGAAACCCTTCATGGCATTTATAGGTATTGAAGACTTACATTTCAGGTTTCCTGTGTCTCCTCTGATTTTTGCAGAAGGATTTTTATTTGTATTCGGGGGCCAAGACGAAAGTAAGCAGACACTGAGCTCGGGAGAAAAGTACGACCCAGATGCAAACACGTGGACTGCGTTGCCACCCATGAATGAGGTGAGATACTCATTTTGTTTATTGGGTTGACATGTTTCTTTCTCCCCTTAGCACTTTTGTTTGTGTTGTGTTCAAGTGCAGGAGCAGAAGCCATGGCTGCCAAGCCCCGGCCCGCTGCGCTCCAGCCTGCCCCTCCAGCCCCTGTCTTGCCCCTGCCCATTCTGGCCGCCTGGCCGCTGCTCGCCCCTTCCAGGAACACTCTGGGGGCTTGCGTGTTTGCTCTTCCCCTCCAGAGCCTCTTGGACCCCAGCGCCTGAGTGGCTTGTTCCCTCACCTCCCTCCAGCGTCTGTTCCTATAGCACCTTCTCAGTGAGCGCTGCCCCCTGCCGCTCAGCTGTCCTGTCCCCTCTCTTCACGCTCTATGTCACCTTCTCGCAGACTAGGTAGTTAGAGTTTTTTACGTAAGCTCTTTGATGGCAGAGAATTTCGTCTGTTCTGGTCAGTGTTTTATTTTCAGTGCTAGAATCGGGCTTGCCACATGGGGGCTACTAAGCCAGTATTTGCCGATGAATGAATGCGAAATTCACAGGGCTTCTGTAATTCCAGACGGCCTTAGCTCGCCCTGTCCTCCCGCTGCCTCCCCTAGCCGTGGCCATTCGCACGGCTGTGGTCCTGACCCTGTCCTCCACACGTCAGCCTGGAAACACTTACTGCCCGTTGCTATCCAAAAACAATCTTACTAAAGCAGAAGGGAATAGTTCCTTTCCTTATTATGAGCTAGTGTGGGTTAAAAGGTAAAGATTTTGCTGGTGAATTCACCACGTATTTTATAACCTTGTTTGAGAAATTACTAGCTTTGTGTTCTCTGGCTATCGTGCTAGCAGGGTGGGCTGCCAGGGAAACCAGAAATGTTAAGAAGCGTTCCTAGGAGAAATGGTTTTGAACATGGTCCTAGCTTTCAATGTGATCATCGACCTTTTGTGTACAAAGATCTTCCATGTCTTTTCAGGCAAGACATAACTTTGGAATCGTGGAGATAGATGGGATGCTGTACGTTCTAGGAGGAGAGGACGGTGAAAAGGAGCTGATCTCCATGGAGTGTTACGACATTTATTCTAAAACCTGGACAAAGCAACCGGATTTGACCATGGTTAGAAAGGTGAGAACAGTATCTTGTGATATAGCTAGTTTGTGTACAAATTGGATTTTAAAGTTAATGTTTCGTCATTTCCTGAATATGCCTTTAATTCAACTGATAGTGTTAAAAAAAAAATTAACGTTAAAGAATTCCATCTTTATTGGTAGCTTGCCTTCACTGTCATCTGCCACATACGTACACACCAAGACAGGAGAGTGAGTGGGTGAGTGAGTGAAAGTCTTAACCATCCTGCTGGATTGGGGAGAAACATGAGTCTATAGGTAAAGAACTACTGTTGCTTACCGAGTATAGAGCGGAAACAGATGGCTCACCTTAGATGCTCACAGCATGGTCTGTCTTTATTTATATTCCCTGTTGTAGGCAGGGAGGTACTATCAAGCCAGAGCTTTGCCCAGCACTGTAGGTACTTTACATTTTGGGGTACTAGGATATACTCATATATTCTGTCACAGTATGTGCCCCTTCAACTACGTTATTTTGGACAGGAATTAAGTGGCATCGGATTACATGGAATCTAAATCTTGGAGTCTTCAAATAATGGTGAAAGAATAGGAAGATTGGAAAGCGCTTTGAAACATTAGGATTCTTATTTCACTTAGTGATACAGTATTGGATGGAGTAAGAGCTTCTTTTCTGAGGATTAACAATGTGTATATTACCTTGCTCTTATTTTTTAAAGTCCTGTGTTGTAATATTGAAAAACACCATTGTTTTACTGTTCGAAATCACATCTTTTCCTAAATTTCTTAAAGTCCCCTGTGGACAAGTTAATATTTGTTCATGTGACCTTAATAATAAATTTTGCCTTCCCTTGCCATTGTTTCCTCCTTTCAGATTGGCTGCTATGCAGCTATGAAAAAGAAAATCTATGCCATGGGAGGAGGATCATATGGAAAACTGTTTGAATCTGTGGAATGTTATGATCCAAGGACCCAGCAATGGACTGCTATCTGTCCCCTAAAAGAGAGGAGGTACATGAACGTGGACATGGACTTTGTCGATTCCCTTACTGTTCACTGGATCTGAAGCCCCTTACCATGGCTTTTGCTTCTCTTTTCTTTCAAAGTGACCTTTTACTTGACTTGGTATTTCCTGAAAAAGGAAGGCCCACAAAGTCATGAAACACTGAATGTTGCACAAGTGTAAGAGGAATTAGGGAATCAGGTCATGAGTTGTAAATTCAGTACAGCTAACGTGCTATGTGTGGCCTTCCAGATTTGGAGCAGTGGCCTGTGGAGTTGCCATGGAACTGTATGTGTTCGGGGGAGTCAGAAGTCGTGAGGACATCCAGGGTGGTGAGATGGTCACTTGCAAGTCAGAGTTCTACCATGATGAATTTAAAAGGTAATTACAAATGGTTTTACATAGCTTCTGCAGCTTTTTTTTTTATGTTTTTAAAGTCATATTTAGTTTTGTTTAGTTTCGTTTTCAAGTTACTTCATTGTCTAACAGATGATATGTGTAATACATGCTAGATATTTATTCAGTGACTTCAGAAGTATTGGTAATTTAAAGGGAAACCATAGAAAAATATCTCTAAAACATCAGATTTTGACAGTTGCTTAAAATCATTTATTGTCTCCCTATAACTTTTAGGAACATGTTTGAGCTGCCTAACTTAGCACATTCAGACCTTTGGGATTGGCCTTAGGTTTACCTTTTTTCTGCTACTGTCTGACCCAGATGCTTCCCGCTGAGCCAGATTCCCCCCCCCCAGACACATATGATTATCTGAGTTCTGTTGGCATGCTATTCCTTTTACCTAAAATCTCCTTTCCCCATGTTCAGCTAGTGAACTTGGCCTTTTTTCAGAAACTCTGCCTATTGATCACTCCCTAGAGAAAGCCTTCTCATGTCCCCCAGTCTGATTTAAATTCCTCAGTCTGTGATGCCATAGCTCTCTATACCTGCCTCTTTCTGGGGTTGTGACTGTGTCCTGAAGTAAGCAACTTCAAGACAAGGTCCAACTTAATGGACTGTGTGTCCTAGCATCCAGCAGCCTACCTGGCCTGCATTAGACATTCAGTAAAATGTTGTGGATGATAGGGGTGGTGCCTGATATCCTTACATCTGATGGACTATTGTATAGGTCTTATAGAGTAGATCACATCCTTCTTGACCCCCCCTTTCCTGCCCTCATACATTTTATTGTTGTAATCGCTAAATAGTATTTTTATTGCAGCATTATGTTCAAATCCTGAAGGGAGATTGCTATACTAAAAATAATCTTGTTAGAGTATTTCAGCTGTGTTACCAGAAGGGGGTGCCAAAATATAATGTTTCATTTCATACCCTTTTTGATAAGGGCAAACAACCGGAATGTTAGAAATACATAGAAATGTTACCTAACTTTTAATATATTTTATATTTGGGATATTTGCATTAGCTTTTTTCAGTTATAGGGGTAGACTAGGAAAATGTATTAGACAAAGTATGAGAGCAGTTTGGAGCATATTTGCTATGGTATGGGTGGGAGGCAGAATTTCAAGACTTTTCTACATTTCTCCTTCCTTAACATATGACTCTGAGGGCTGACTGCCCAACATAGGAAGCTTTAAATTCATTTCCTGACCAAATGAATCTCGAGATACGCTGTCCAACTTCATTAGCAAGCAGTAGTAGCCAGTGTGTTTGGCTTCTGATAAAATATTGACATAAATTTTTTTCATAATGATCGAATTACTGTTTAGACAGCGTGAGCGAGTGTCTGTTGCTGGAGAAGTCAAGTTGGCTTACCTTTCCCCATTGGCCGTGCCTGTTTCGACTTTGTAGGACTTAAATCTGGCTGTGACATTTCTCAGCCTGTCCTTAACATGCTATGAGTTGTTAGAACCTTTATATTTCTATCAGGTTGTTTTATATTTATAGTTGATGTGCTTTAAATACAACTATTACTTGCCTTAAGTTTGTAATTATTAAACATAAGAGTGTTGCTCCTTCCTTGCTTATTTAAAAGCACTTTCAAATAAAATTCATGTATCCTCCATTTCCTTATTTCCAATGATGGTTTGCAGATAGAGTGAAGAAAGCTGTTAATTTCTTTTATCAATATAATACATGTAGGATTCTTACATGTTTAAATAGTAAACACATGTACAACACCCAGTGGCATATGTTAACTCATTTAATCTTCAAAACGGCACTGCGAGGTATAGGTACTGTTATTATTCCTCTTGTACATATGAGGAAACCACAGCACAAAGAGGTTAAGTAAAGTGCCCAGGGACACACAGTAGCAAGTGGCAGAGCTGGAATACAGACTCGGGCATTCTGGCTCCAGAGTCCACCGTTGCAGCTACCACACCGTGTTGACTTAAAAATATCAGCTTTCCCGTGAATACCTATACAACAAAATAGGACGTAGGAGGAGTTGATTTCTCAAAAGGTCAGATGTTTCCAAGCATGTTATATTTGCATTCTGTGGAAACTGTTGCCAGATGAGCAATCTGTATTAGATTGGAGACCATTTAAATTGTTTTTAAGTAATCTCTTGTCTTTCCTGTCTTTGTTTCCTAATTTTAGGTTAAAACTTTCCTGGAAAAATGCCATATCTCATTATTTTCTGTGTTTCTGAATAAAAGCAAAACCGTTTGAGAGAAAGCAAAGAACTTGCCATAAATTATTACCGAGTCATAGTGACAACTTAATATACCCAGAATGACAGTTTCCCTATTTCTGTTCTCGCGTCCTTGTTCTGTTAATAATGTCACTGTCCTCCCAGTTATCCAAACTCACAAGGGGTCATCATGGGTTCTCTCTTGTGCGTCACAACTCATTGGTTGCCAGGTCTTATCTTTTTTTAAGCTCTGTAGTATTTTTCACACTCACCCCACCTTCAGCCCTTTGTCCTGCCCTAACGCAGACACTTCATCTGCTGAATGTCACTAGCCCAGTCTTCGCTAGTGCAATTACCTTCTTGTGCTTTTGAAAGATCAATCTGACACACACTTTGGTCATTTTATTCCCCTGCTCAAAATTCTTCACTGTTCCCCATTGTTTACCAAATAAAGAGTATTTAGCCTCCTACTCAGGGTCCTCCATGATCTGAGGCTAAGAAAAATTTTCAGGGCACTATGTTAGTCCATAGAGATTTAATCACCTGATGTCCCACAAGCTGGCACATTGGTTACCCCATTGAACACACTGTGCTGTTTGTGTGACATGGGAACTAGGGGACGAGAGATGAACCCCACTCCTGACCACATCTGATTCAGTCATGGTCCAGTCAAGAGACAGAGGCCACACCAGTAATTTGAACAGGGAAAATGTAATCTATGCTATTATTGACAAGTAAGAGGTGGTCAGCCTAAAAGGGTGAAAGAGGACTCTGAAGAATGTAGAAATAGCTAATGTAGGAAGCGCAGGGAAAGGAACAAATTAGGAAGAGTCCTTCCCACCCCACAAGGCTGAGATGCATCCCATTGGAAGCAGATGTGCCGAGGCCCACTGGAGCGCAGAACGCCAGGGTGCCAGGGGCCAGCGACACCCTGGAAAGTATGCCCTGGTGTCTTGCACATTGGTGGGCAGTGCAGCAGGAGGAGGTGGAGTGTGAGTGACCCTGGGAGAGGGGTCTTTTCCTCTCCTGGCCTTCTGCACCCTCCGTGGACGAAGAACTAGCTGCTCATTTGGTTCATTTCCCCATTGTGTTTTCTGCTTCACTGATTTCTATGCTTGTCTGTATTATTTCTGTTGTTTTACTTATTTGGATTTATTTTACTCTTTTCTACCTTCTTAAGATGGAATTTTAGATCACTGATGGTAGACCCTTTTATTTTTCTAATACGCACAGTTGAAGCTTTAAATTTCCAATAGAGCACCACTTTAGCTGTGTCTCAGACATTTTGGTGTTTTATTCTCATTCAGTATGAAATAAACCTTTTCCCTTCTTCAGACTGGATGATTTCTGTTGATCTGTCTTCATGGTTGCTGCTCCTTTTCTTTGTTATCTCCATTCTCTTATTATGACCATCCAGTGAATTTTTTATTCCAAATATTATGTTTTTGATTCTAAAATTTTTTGTAGTTTGTTTTTAGGTGTTTTTTTTTTTTTTTTTTTTAATTTCTGTGCTGACATTTCCTATCTTTCTATCATAAGCATATTTCCCTTTCCTGTCCTGAGCATCGTTACGGAGGCTGCGTTCAAGTCCCTGCCTGTTAATCGTGAGTCATCTCAGAGTTGGCATCTATTGACTATTTACTCCCTTGAGCATGGGCTCTCATTTTTGTGGCTGTTCTTTGTTGAGCAATTCTGGATTGCATCCTGGACAATTTTAATAGTATGTTGTTGAGGCCTTGAATTCTCTTACATTGCTTTAGAGTGTTGCTCAGAGAGTTTTGGTAAGCAGTTAAGTTGGTTAGGCTTAAATTGCAGGCTGTGGCACCTGCAGTGGGTGGCAGCTCAAATCTCAGTTCACTTCTTTGAGCCTTAGTTATTAACATACATGTTGCCAGGGTCAAAGACTTGAGATGAGTGGATGCACACAAGTTTAGGGATGCTTTTCAATCTCTTCTTTCTGGGGTTCTCCACTCACACTTTGGCTATCCCAGTTGCCCCAAGAGTCTATCCTGATTCCTGATTCCTGTAGCCAGAAAGATGGCCAGGTTTCCTTGGGGGGTTTAGCTACCTAGACAGAGCTGCCTCCCTCATGCTGCCTTCACAGACAGATACCAAGAAACAGGAAACTCACTCCATGTGGGGTGCTTGTTTAACTTTCAGTTCCTTTCCAAAATCTGCCTGCCTTGGTTCAGTTTCCAGAGCTTTCATATAGCTGCATTTTTTCCCAAGTTTTTAGCTGATGGTTCCAACAGCAGCGGCAGCGATTGGTTAAGTGCTTCCTCCCCCATACTGGGAGCGATGCCTCACTGAAGCTCTCTCTTTCTTTCCTCCTCCCTCCTCTCTAATTAATCACCCTACAGCTCTTGCCATTCCTACTTTCCTCTCTCCAGAGTGCACTGCTGTGATCCATTCTGTATTGTAAAGTTTCATTCTTAGGGAGTAGTCTTAATTCTGAGTTATGAGAGGACACATCATTGTAGCCTCCAGGTGCTAAGAAGCAATGCACCCATGTTTGAAACCATTGTTAACTAAAGGCGTAGTACTACCTTGTACATGGCAAAAATGACTATCATGTGATGATATCTACTGTGTACTAGAAACTGCAAAATACTTCACATTGGCATTTCATCCTCCCAACAACCGTTTGAGGTTGGTGACGGTATCTGGTATCCCCACTTTACAGATGAGGAAGCAGAGACTGGGTTGGCTAAGTTGTCTGAGGTTAATGAGGTGATAAAATGGCATTCAAAACCATGCACCTTTTATACCTACTTTATAAGCAGTGACAGCTAAATACACGATTCAATTCTGTAAAGTTATTCTAAAATCTCAGTGTGTTCTGATGTGCTTTTTGAGTAGTCTAGTCATAAATGTTTTAATTTAGAGCATACACATGATCCTGTTCATGGGTTTGTCAGAAGAGTTGTGTGCTCTCCCACTGGGGTTGACCCTGGATGTTCTGGTTCAGCTGTAGACAAGGCATAGTGATACTGTCAGCTTTGATTCAGAACCTGGGAAGAATTTTAAGTGCTGAGGTTCAATTATTTATGTTTAGCCCTAAAGACATGAAATATGAATAAACTAATATTGTAGTTTGACATTTCTCCAGCTTTTTCTTTCAGAGACCTGTCTGGGGTCTCCGTTTTCACTTTCAATACAAGCTCTTAGACTTTTCTCTTTTCCTTTTTCTTGGAGGCAGGGACCAAAATCTGTACTCCCAGTCCCAGTATACTACTTTATTTTTTATTTATTTATTTTTTTTTTAGATGTATTCTCGACTGTGGCACAGTATACTACTTTATACCAGTCAACATTCAGATGTTACATGAATCAAGTGTTAGATGAATGTATTTAGAAATATGGCAGCTTAGCTTTGTTTCTGAATTGTTATATGATGTTGGACAAATATTTTGCTTCCGTGTGTCTTAGAATTCAAAATATGAAGCTACTTACTACTTTAACAGTCTGGGAAGAATATTCATTAAAATAAAAGTGCTATTCTTTTTTACATATATATTTGACATTGAGATGCCCTAAACCTAAGCTACTGGCCTTTTGGCTGCTTTATAGCATAGATTAGGAATAATGAAACAATGTCTGTACATCTGTGTTCCAATAATGGGTGCAAGTCTGGGCATTAGTAGCTTATATGGCTATTTAGATACATTCCCAAGCTCCTGCTGAAATCTGCTGTGACCTGGCTTTGCCTGTTAGCTATTAGCAGGAAATAGTTTTTCTGTGTTACCCTGAGTGAACATTACATAGCAGGATCTAGATTTACTTTTTTTTTTCTTTGCGAGACAGAGTCTTGCTCTATCACCCAGACTGGAGTGCAGTGGTGCGATCACAGCTCACTGCACCCTCCGACTCCCAGGCTCAGCTGGTCTTCCTGGCTCAGCCTCCTGAGCAGCTAGGACTATAGGCACGTGCCACCACACCTGGCTAATTTTTTTTTTTTTTTTAAAGAAACAGGGTCTCGCTATGTTGCCCAGGCTGGTCTCGAATTCCTGGCCTCAAGCAGTCCTTTTGCCTCCCAAAGAGCTGAGATTACAGGCATGATCTGCCATGCCCAGTTTAGATTTATGAAGGGAAGGAAGAGGAAAAAACATTTATTTTGGAGTAATTTTAGACTTGTAAAAAAGTTGCAAAAATAGTCAAAGAGTTCCCACTTTCGCAAGCCATATTCACTCAGCTTCTCCTAATGTCAACATTGTACATAACCATAGTATAAAACATCAAAACCAGAAAATTTGTATTGTCCAATATTACTAAGTAAACTACAGGTTTATTAGAGTTTGTCAGCTTTTCCACTCATGTCTTCTCTTTCTGTTCACAGATCCAATCCAGGATCCTACTTTACATTCAGTTGTGTTTCCTTTAATCTGTGACGATTCTGTAGTCTTTCCTTGTCTTTCATTACCCTGATACTCTTGAAAATTATTGGTCAGGGTTTTGTTTTTTGTTGTTGATGGTTTTTTTTGTAGAATGTCTCTTAATTTGGATTTCTCTAATGATCTCAGTGATTAGACTGAGGTTGTGCATCTTGGCAATACTCCGGTCGTCACGTTACACCCTTCCCCACATTGTATCAGGGAGAACATGCCAATATGCTTTATTGCCGGCGATGTTAACCTTGGTCTCTTTGTTAAGGCGGCGTCTGTTGGGTTTCTCAACTGGAAAGTTATTACTCTATTTCTCATTGTAATTACTGAATATCTTGGAGGAGATAATTTGAAAATATGCAAAACTTGTTTCTTTTTAAGCTTTTGCCCACTAATTTTAGCATCCATCAGTAGATCTAGCCTGCAGTAGTTGTTACTATGGCGTTTGCCTAATGGCAATTTCTTTTTCCCTCATTCCTTCTATGCTTATTTATTCGAATTCTTCTGTAAATGAAACCTGTCCCTTCTCCCTATTGTTAAATTTTTAAAAAGTATTTATAGCAGTATGTATTTGTGGATATTTATTTTATTCTCAGAGTTATAAATTCAATACTATCATTATTCACTTCCTTGCTCACATTGTTCCAGCCTTAGCCAGTGGGGGCTGCTTCATATCGGCTCCTGTGGCCTTCTGACACGCCCCCATCCTTCTTTGAGTACTTCCTGTCTGGCACCACGAGATGCTCCAGGCTCCTCTTGTATTTTCTCTGCCTCAGCTCTGGAATCAACCACTTCTTCATGGAGTCCCGGATCCTTTTGATGGTTATTAAATTGATTTTCAATAGAGCTGCCAAGGCAATTTACTAGGGAAGGAAGAGCCTTCAGCAAATGGTGCTGGAACAGCTAGCTATGTGTATGGAAGAAAGCGAACTGTGACTCACAGCATGCAAAAAATTAACTGGAAATGCATCATCGACCTAACTGTAAAAGCTAAAACCATAAAATTTCCAGAAGAGAGCACAGGAGAAAAAATCTTTGTAATGTTGGGGTGGGCAAAGATTTGCCTAGAATGAGACGGAGCCATGACTATCTTAAATTTAAAAGATTTTATATTGGAATTCATCAAAATTAAAAAATTTTCTTCAAAAGATTCTCTTAAGTAAATGAAAAAGCAACCTACATGCTGGGAAAAAATATTCATAGCACATGTATCTAACAAAGGACTTGTATCCACAAAATATAAAGAATTTTGCAATTCAACAATAAGACAGGAGACTTAATTTTTAAAATGAGCAAACCTTTGACCATACATTTCACAAAAGAAAATACGTAAAACAGCCAGTGAGCACATGCAAAGATGCTTAACATCATTAGCTTTCAGGGAAGTTCACACCATTAAAATGGCTAAAATTAAAAAGACTGACAATACTAAGAGTTGACAATAATACCGAGCAATTGTAATTCTCATACGTTGCTAATTGGAATGCAGAATGGCACAACACTTTGGAAAGCAATGGGGCATTTTCTTACCCTTACCATATAACCCAGCAATTCCATAACACAAGTCCACAGGAAAGACTTGCTCTGTAATGTTCACAGCAGCTTTCTTCACTATAGCCCAGAACTGGAAGGTACCCAAATAAACACCAATAGGTAAAAGAATAACAAATTCTTGTACTCCATGTAATAGAATACTACTTAAAATAAAAAGAAGTGAGTGACTGATGGTAACAACATCATGGATGAATCGCAGAAACCTTGCGCTGAGCACAAGCAGATTGGAAAGTACTTGCTCCTTGGGATTTAGTATCTGTTTCATTCTAGCACAGGCAAAACTAATATCCATAGTGACTGGGACCACAGCACTGGTTACCTGGCAGTGGAGTGTGGGGGTCTCGATTGGTGTGGTGCCTAGGACTGTGGGTGACTCCCTAGTTTTTGTCATCTCAGTCTCCCTAGATGTTGTAGTCATCCTTTTGATTTCCTTAATTCTGTCCATTGGCTTTGTTTCCAGGTGGATCTATCTTAATGACCAGAATCTGTGCATCCCCGCCAGTTCTTCTTTTGTTTATGGAGCGGTCCCTATAGGAGCCAGTATTTACGTTATTGGAGATCTTGATACAGGTAAGAGTGTGAGGGTGATTTTGTTGGAACTGTTCGCATGTGATTTGGAGGCACTTTGTATCACCTTGGCTTATTTTCATGGTTTAGGTACCAATTACGACTACGTGCGTGAGTTTAAAAGAAGCACAGGAACCTGGCACCACACCAAACCGCTCCTTCCATCTGACCTTCGCCGCACGGGGTGTGCAGCCTTACGTATTGCAAATTGCAAGCTTTTCCGCCTGCAGCTTCAGCAAGGCTTATTCCGTATTCGTGTTCACTCACCTTGAAGAGGAAGCAGAGCAGAGCGCGAGATACTGACCGAGGAGCACCATAACATAGCTTTACGTGAGGGAGGACGGAGATGGCCGCTGACACTTACCGCGTGCTGGGCTTTGGGATGGTAACTCTTCAGTAGTTTTATTATGCTTACAAGCTTGGGCTTCAGCTCTTCTTTGGGAGAACACGTAACTATTGAAAAACTACCTGGAAGGAATCGGTTCCTCCAGTTAGATGTGTCTGTACACAGTGGAGGCTAGTCAGTATCGACAGGAAGAGGGAGTGGGAACTGGTGTCATGTAAAATACTGAAGTTAAAATACTAAGGTGCATTTTTCCCTGAAGGGAACTCACATCTGACTGACTGCTGTTTTCAAATATGTGGCTTTGGTAAACAAACAAACAAATCCATATATGCAAAGCAACATATCCAAACATGCCAAGATTGCTTTTCTACTGCACTTGGAAGGATGTATCATGCCTAACCCTGCCCAACAAACTAAGGTTTGTGCCTGAAATGTTAGATTGGACCATATGCCAGTTAGTCTCCATTTATTACTAATACTCTGTCCTAAGAATGTTTCTAAGACCATATTATGATGAATTGAAGGTAAAATTTCTCTTTTATAACATTCTGTCTTAGTAATGTAAAGTTTCAATAAGTTGATGAGTCAGGTTGCAGCCCTCCTATGAACTTAAAGGAAGTTGCCAACCTCTGTGTTAATTTAGATGATGACACGTCATGCCGTCATTTCCAGGTAATACTTTTGGAGTTGTGAAGGATCTCATGCAGTGCCATTCTTCCTTTTCAGTGGATCAGAACCATTTTATAAGTATGAGGATATTAGTGAGTAGGAGATTTTATAAAAGAAAGACCTGAGTCAGACGAATAATAAAGGTCTGCTGTGGCTTAAAAAAAACAAAAAAAAACTGTCCAGAGAAAATACATAGGGATCAAAAACTTTTTAATATAATCTGTCTGAAAGCACACAAAGTCTTGTTTACTACTGTTTTGAATTTGAAAACTTGTCTTAGAACGAGAGTCTGTATTAAGAATCTAGTCTTTGTAATAGAATTTTCCCAGTGCCGTTTGCTAGCAAGTTTTAGGCAAATTATGTTACGAGTAAAGTTTGGCTGGTAGAATAAACTACCTCAACTTCATTTCATTCTGTTCATAATAGTAGAGCAAATCAGTCTTTTCCTCTGTCCTTCCTTTCCTGTCTCTCTCCCATCTCAAGTCACTCTGCCCTACTTCTCAATGGGAGGAAAAACATCTTTCATTAGTGGAACTTACCTTGTAAAATATTTTGTTTCCCACTGAAATTACACCACCACAGTGCGAAATCGGGGACTTCAAAATGCTTGACTACTTCATAATTTGAATTTTATGCAATATCAAATTTCTAATTAATTTAACATAGAGCGCTTCATTTTTAGCTGTTTCCTACAGCTTTTTTTTCCTCTTAGAATATGACTATAAGAAGCAGCATTTTGTCTTCTTAATGATTAATACATGTATAAATGTATCCTTCAGTTGTAAATTCGAGAACAGGAATTTCTTCTAGAAACTTTCTATATGGAATGTTTGTGTGCTGTTAACATACATGGGAAACATGGCTGATGTTCTCCCACCCGTGGACATAACAAAGGGTAGCCTGTCTGCTGTTTTGTTCTTACACCTCTGGATCTGAAAGTCAGTACAGCACTACAAACGTTGCTAACAGAGGCTGCGCCTCTGGGGGTTCTAAAGAACATTGTGAATGCCACATTCACTCTTCATGGTGGCCAAACAATACTCAGGGTAGGAGAAGGTGTAAGGCTTTTATCTTACCTACCAGAGGCAATGGGCCTGATGTGCCGTGCCACATGGGTGTATAACTCGGCCAAATTTGGTGTGTCATAGTTCAGCTTAGGATTCCTTGTGTACCAGTGAGCCGCTGTGTGTACATTTTCCCAGGGATACTTTGGATATCTTTTCATCAAAGCAAGCTATGTGGCCTCTGCAAAGAAAGGGAGGTTTTTCTTTGTACAGCTAGGTATTAGTTTTAGAGGAAACAAATTACTGAAAAAGTCAGTTTGCTTTGGTGAAATATCCTGTATGGAGCAGGAGCTCAGCGTTCAGCAGCTGCAGCTGGGGACCAGTCAAGTAGTAACTGACATCCTGTTGAAGCCATGAGAGTCCGCAGTGCTCTTTTTTTTAATTTATGACATTTAAAACTTTTTCCAGTTTACGCCAGACCTCTCCAAGGAGACAGTTCATTATTTGGGAGTGAATGGGTTCCTATTAAAATATTATCAGTACCTGCATGACTCGGTAAATTCATTTTATACACATTTTTTTTAATTCAGTTTATTGACACTGTAGCTACAAAATTAGATGACGTTTTATAAAATAAAGTTGCCACGTACTATGGGATGCAATAACCAACGAAGGCTGCTAAGTGCCAAACTGTTATTTTACTATATAGAAATATAAAAATATACTGTGTTGAAGCATAGGGGTGTATTTAATTTTATTATGCTCCAAAATTAATCATGACTTTTAAAATAAATTACAGTTATTTCAGTATTGTGAAATAAATTTCAACTCATCTCATGCAGGTTTGTGTTTTAACATTCCACTTATGCCTTGAAACATATTTCTTGATAAATTTTTGATACTTATTTCTCCATAAGGCACTTTTACCAGGTGTGTGTTGAAGTTGGTGGCTCAGGATAGCTGTTAAAAATTTTAAATACAGATAGATATCTGTGGGGGAAGTGCAATTTCTCTTCAGAAGGAAAGTTGTCTCAGGTTAGAATAAGTGACTATTTCAAAGATCTCCCGTAGGCTACAGTCTAAAACAGGTTTGTTTGTTTGTTTCTTTGTTGAACTCATCCAAATAGAGATTTTTTTCAAAGATCTAAGCATTTTAATTTGAAGTGAAGTGGGTTTTTGTTTTTGTTTTTGTTAGTGCTCATATCCTGTGAGAAGGAAAGGTGTGAGAGATGAGTGAGTTCGCGCGTGCGCGAGTGTGTGTGTGTGTACGTGTGTGTTTGTGGTGCCGTGTGACCTGAGTGTGTTTACATATGTTTACGTTCTGGGTTGTAGTTCCAAACTACACATATTACTGTCTCCTAGTGCTTCAGATAAATTCTTGAGCCTGTTGACCTTCCGTTTATACTACTATGTTAAACTCATATTGAGTGTAAATATTGAAATATTTGTAGTTTATAATAAGTTTTACTTGGTATTTGCATTTCTCCTCTTTAGCAGGATTAAAAACAGTGTTTACCAACTCATAGCTGGTACGCTGTAAAGATTTGGCCTAAGAAATTTCGGAATTCATTGTTTCGCTTAGTATTTTCATTGCTGTGAGGAGTTGATAGCTAACGGGTAGGCTTTTTTCAAACTGTGTAACAACCAAAAAAGAATATTTGGGAGTATCTCGGATGGTATGTTGTTTGTAATGAAGTGTTCTCTTATATTGCACTACCACTTTAATGATGATACTTTCTTCATTGATGGTTTAGAAGTGTCATTTTTATAATTTATAAGTGGGGGGGTTCCTAGGCCATGTGTAGGAAATGCATTCTTTGTACTGACCTGGTGCACAGAGGGCTGTCTCTGCTGTGGCACCTGAGTGACTCATGGGCAGCAGGTTAGGTTTCTGGAGAAGCAGCTTAGCTACCTTGGTACCTTAGGCTTCCATGTGGTACATTCAGTGTACCAAACCAGGAATTCCCAAAAGTTTCCCAAGGATTGCTAAAAACACCACAGTATTTACTTTCCAGAACGTTGGCTATTTTGATTAAAGAGGCCTGTGGTCAGGTGAGGACATTTGATTATCTGGGGAAAAGAACAAGGTGGCGCTTTCACTATATCAACTTAAAAGGTACAAGGACCCCCTGAAAACCACTCTGGTGAGAAGAGATGGAGTCAGCCCAGTTAGTTATCGGCCACCTGCTGGGAATTGTGCAATGAGGCAGGTGTCACACCGCCTTCCCTCTCGAGACTGCAAACTCGTCATGGGGTAGGCAAGGGCCCTATCTTCGTCATCTGCCAGTCTCATTGCCTGCACGTGGTAGGTGGTCAGTAAACGTTTGACAAGTGGATATAGTATCCCTGTGATCAAACTGTTGTTGTCACTGGATTGAAAAGTGCTCTCCACGAGTGACTGACTTCGCTGGATTTCACATGAGCAGCTTCGTACACTGGTGGGCTGGCCTCCTGTGTGCAGTGGGAAACTAACATAGAATAAAACACGCAAAGTGCCCGATGTGTACAGTGCACAATCCCATGGTCTCCATATGTTCTGTAGGGTCTTTGAGACCCTATACTAAGCTTACCTAATAGTGTTTATCATGTTTAATGTTAGGTTTTATTTATTGCTTTCCATATGGGGCTCAGAATCTTCTCCAGGACACAGTGCTTTGATCCGCACATCTCTGACACAGGCGAGGTGCTCTCCCCATTGGAGAGACCGGTCTTTGAGGCCTGGTAGGTACGGCTGCCTTTCTCTCGTTAGATGGGAGTAGGAACCAAGAGCAGAAGCCAGGTCTCTGGTTTATCCATTCACCAGTCAGCCTACCAGACCAGCGGTCCCCAGCCTTTTTGGTACCAGGGACCGTTTTCATGCAAGACAATTTTCCACGGATGGGGGCTGGGGGTGGCTTCAGGATGATTCAAACGCATTGTATGTATTGTGCACTTTATTTCTATTATTTTTATATTACATTGTAATATATAATGAAATGATTCTAGAACTCACCATAGGTTTGGGGACCCCTGTATTAGACTATAACTTGATTTTTCTAGGCATACAAGGATTTTTAATCACAAAATAATCCTTTGTAGTACAATTTAAACTCCCAGACATAAACATATCCTTTGCAAGTTGCACAGATATAAGCTGAAAGATATTTGGTTTTGTTTGTTAGTTAGCTATAGGAAGTGTAAGAATTTGCTAATGTCATAAGAATAGATAATAGTTTTTGTTTAAAAGAGAAGCTGTTTTTACTTTCAAAGAGCTGAAGCTTCATGTATACTTCCTTCTCTTATCCCATGTAATTAGCAAGGGAAAAGAAACTATGTCTTAGAATGTTGAAGAAAGTATTTTATTACCTTTTTAATAGTCCGTGAATTATTCTTTATAGCTGATTTAGAAATTATAGAAATTTATGGTATAAGGATAAGAAATGTCCCATTTGCCCATATTTGAGAAGAACATGAACTTGGGCTGAGTGTCTCACACCCACTGGCAGTTAAGTTTCAATAGTATGGAACATAGACTTGTCTGTATTTTTTTTGAAAACAGCTGGTAAAACTTTTGAAGACTGTATTTTTCGGAAAACTATTATTTCAATTTTAAACGTATCTCAACAATGTCTCATTGTATAATAGTTCCAATAATATGACACATGAGGAGTTCAGTCATACATCCAAATTCTTTGGGCCAGTCCATACAGTTTAGGAAAGTTTGTTCTTTTTCAGCTTCTTCAATGAAGTGATTGGATGTTTAAACTCCTTCCCTTTCTCATGAAATCAAATATCTCATAAATAAAACTATATTGTATAATTGTTCAGAAAGAAATGTCTGTTGCCCTCTTTTCTATTTTGAGATAAAAACTGATGTTTTTTTGGATGCCACTCAGCTGAAATTTGGCCCAAATATAAATTTTGGTATTGATGTCCTCCTGGCTCAGCAGAGTTGTTGAGCTTCCGTCTCTGCAAACATCCGGCGCAAACTGTAAACTGTCAGTTCTGAAATCACTGTGATTTGAACCAGAGAAGCTACGAGTGGGAAGACAATGAGAGCCCACAGAGGCTGGGGACACACTGCCTGAGATGAAGTGGAGAACAATTAGCCAGTTAATAGGATCCGTGTAAATAAATGGCCACTTCAAATAATTCAAGTCCCAAGTAAATGTAGGTTCATCTTTCTTCTGATTGGTGAATTATATTTATTGCAACCTTATTTTTAGCATTTCAGTACAGTCGGTTTAGGTATCTTATTTGTGTTGTTTTTACTTATCACTTACAAATAAGGTATACCTTAGAACCTTGGGTTAAATTTCTTCGTGTTATACCAGGGAACTTGGTTTAAATACGACTATAGTAACTTGCTTTATCATGTTTCCTGTTTAATTGGATGAGAATTACGTGCATTTATTCCCTTGTTCTTTGTGTTTATAGGAAAAACCCTGTTCTCAGCTACCTCATTATGTGTTGTTGTGCTTGATCCCCTGCCAATGTAGAAGAATTCAACACATTCTGTTCTTTAACAAAAGCCTGGAAGCAAGCAGTAGCGGCCTTGAGGAATACAATTCTCTGAGGCCTTGTTTTCCATTTTACTACTT